GTGTCCTGTGGTCCGAAAATTAAATTCCTTTTTGGAAATCATGGACGTGATTGTCCTCCGGGGCACTGAAAGACCACTCAGTTTGATATCAGTGCACAGTTCAAAAGCCAGTATTTATGATGGTATAAAGGTGCATTAGTGCACATGGCATGGGTGATGTGCACAACTGCGAAGGCAACATTAATGCTGAACGATATATGCAGGTTTTGGTAACATATGCTGCCATCCAGACGATGTCTTATTTCAGGGAAGGCCTGGCTTATTTCAGCAAGACAATGTCAAACCACATTCTGCCTGTATTACAACAGCATTGCTCCATAGTAAAAGAGTCCCGGTGCTAAACTGACCTGTCTGCAGCCCAGACCGGTCACCCAATGAAAACATTTGCTGCAATATGAAATGAAAAATGCAACAAAGGAGACCCCGAACTGTTGAGCAGCTGAAATCCTATATCAAGCGAGAACGGGAAAACATATTACTTTAAAAACTATAGCAGTTGATCTCCTCAGTTCCCAAATGCTTAAAGAGAGTTGTTAAATAAGGAGGTGATAAAACATGCCCCCCAACCCAGCTTTTTCAGAACGTGTTGTTGGCATCAAATTCAAAATGGGAATGTATTTTTCAAAAAACAATAAAATCAAAAAAAATAATTTAAAAATTTTGATTTGTTGTCGTTGTAGTATTTACCTTCAATAACATGGTTTACATGATTTGCATATCATTGCATTCTACTTTTAATTACATTCTGCACAGTGTCTCGACTTTTTTGGAAATGGGGTTGTGTGTGTGTGTGTGTGTGTGTGTGTATGTATGTATCGGAAGAAAACCTCATCTCCAAAATGGTAACTTTACAAGAGAGGGAAAAAACATACTTCACTTTTAATGTAAGTCAATGGAACACAATGCAAATTTTCAAATGATCTTAAAAACTGAAAAACGACAACAGCTATATATATATATATATATATATATATTAGGGGTGCGGGAAAAAATCAATTCTTAGATGCATCGCAATGTGGAGGTGGAACTTGGAAGTGCAGCGCCCGGACAGTCTGTGGCGGCACATAAACACATGTGGATGAGTGAGTTTAATGCACCCTCTACATTAAAGCCAGGTTAGATCAGGAGTCACAACACAAATGTTAAGAAGAGCCATTTTGTCCTTTCAACAAAAATCAAACCAGCTTGGGAGCCACAACATTATATGTCCAGTACGTCTCAGTATGTGATAATGTCCTAGTATAGGCTAAACAGTATAAACGAGAGCGCACTTACTTTGCTCTGCTTTAAGCTTTAGCCGCTTTCCTCCCCTTTCCCTCAGGAAACTTCTATTCAAAACTAGAGCAGCTTATTGTAAAATGTCTCTCAGTGTTCGACTGTTTTACGAGGCTGAAGTCGCTTCTCATTCTCCAGCTTCTTGTTCGAATTTTCCCGTTCCACCTTAAATTCTGACTGAGGCACCGAATGTAAATGCGACACCATTTAAGGTGGAACGGGAGAATTCGAAAGAGAAGTGACTTAATCTTCGTAACTGTTTAGTGTTTTGACAGTCTCTCGTTGCAGATTAAACGTAACGCTACCAGGAAACCAACTGCGCTGCTTATAAACACGAATGACGCATCGCTGCTGACCTGCAGTCTGCACGGCAATTCTCAGTCGTTGAGAAACAGGGCTTTCTCTCTATGTTGCACACGTTCCGTCTCGAAGATATTTTACTGACACAGCGATTCCCCTGTCCCACTCTCCACAACGAGACCAAAACCGAAGTTATAAAATCACTAAAGAAAACGGGTAGGACAGCTGTAACGTGCTGCGTGGTCATCCATCACCACTGGATCTTTTGTCACCGTAACTGCGCATTTTGTCGCAGATGAGTGGCAGCAGCGTCTCATGTGCTCTAAACAAGCAGTGAATGAGAGTCTTCTAGTTCACTTGCCACATCACTTCCATTAGATTTATTAATAAGAGATATTGGAAGTAAATTCATTACTGATCATTACAAATAGTTTGGTTTAAAAGTACCAAGTCACTTTAAATAACAACACTGAGTCTCTTAGTCACATTAAAATATATATTGTCTCTATATTCAGTGTATATTTTGTGTATATTTTGTGTATATTTAATATATGTCATTTAGTTTTTCTTGTATTTTTATTTTTACTCATTTACTTTCTGTAGAGTGATTAGCTGTGCCTCACCACAAGCATTTCAATGCATAAATGTCCTGACGTTGTGCAAATGACAAATAAAAAAAGATGCATCGAGATCGCAGCCCTCTGAATCGTAATCGAATAGAATCGTGAGGTGCCTAGAGTTTCCCACCCCTAAAATACATATGTGTGTGTGTGTGTGTGTGTGTGTGGCATTTTTTTCATGGCATGCCAGAGACTTTTTTTGGTCAAAACTGCATGAGGCAACGTGATATCAATGGTGTGGGAGCTACTAGGAGAAAAAAAATGTAATTTCTGACAACCGTCCCTCAGTCCTCCAAAATGATCTCACGTAATCTCAAGAAATGGGCAGGACACGTCCCACTGGGCCCCCCTCAGCTTTGTGCCGGTATTAAAGCCATGAACACTGGTGCATTTTTATGAATATGGATTAGAAGTTGCATCACAGGTCATTTTAAATTTTATGAGATACTTGAAAGTCATATTTTATGGAAACTTAACACGTACCATTTAGCCACTCCAGATTTGAAAGAAAGAATCTGTGAAAACGAAAACACAGTTCTCCACAACAAACCTGCTGTGAAAACACTAAATTATGCATATCAATGTGTTAGGCCATTTCAGCTGCTTCCATAGAGGTGTTTAACTGACCACTGCCCTCCCATTTTTCTCTTCCCCTTTCAGTTTTATTGGCCTGCAGAGGTCTGTCATGTATAGCTCTCCTGTTGTCTGCTTTGCTGCAGACAGATTTGCAGTGCTATTTTAACAGGTTTTTCAGAAAGCTCTTAGACAGCATACAGGCAAGTGCTGCTATGATTTCAATGTGTCTGTGGAAATGAGAATTGCCATGGCAACAGCTGTGTCAATAAACCTTGAGTACAAAGCAAGAGCTCTTATCTTCTCCACCAGTGTTTGCACTTTCGTGTGTGTGTGTGTGTGTGTGTGTGTGTGTGTGTGTGTGTGTGTGTGTAGGAGTGGATCACAAGGGAATCTGTAATGTCTTTTTATCAGGGCCTATCATATAATACCACTAAGGGACACATCAGTAAAACATCAAAGTCTGTTCAGACACACTGTGTATTTCCTCCTCCGTATTAAACCCACGTTGCACTGTTTCTTCTACAGAGCAACTGGGAGACACTTGTGAGAGAGAGAGAGAGAGGGAACCTACATGATACTTTTATTATTGTGGATTCCTCTCTCTGGTGGAGCAACACTGAAAAACCCAGGGCCTGGAGGAATATGAGTGTGTTCAGGACTTTTCACCCACTCCAAAGGGCACTGAATCAAGGTTGACAATGAGCGAGACTGTACAAAACTTCAAAAACAAACCTTCCAACAGCAGTCTTTTTACAGTTTACAGTGCCTCCCGGGTGATATAGTCATAGCCGTAGTTCTGCAAAAAAAAAAACAAAAAAAACACAACTCTAAATGAATTTTCTGTTTACCCCAAAAGTAGTCAATCAGGCACATTTGGTGTCTGAACTTTGCTTCTTTAGTTTTGCACTGAAGCTATAAAGCTATTGTCGCTAACAGTTTATTATTACTAATTAGCATTGTGCAAATCATTACACAGTGCCTAAATCATCACTCACTTGCCTCAAACTGCACTGAGTTGTTAACTGGTGGGATTCCCTTTTTTCCAAATGTTCTGCATAATTAAATGGTAAACAGTCATTTAGAGTGGTTTGATGTGAAATCCTCCATTCTAAGGAAACTTAGTCACATTTGTTCACAGTGGTGGTGATGGGAACCAGCCAACTGAAGAGTTTAATGCCTCTAAAAGCTCCCTCACAAAAAAAAAATCTACATGGGGGAAAAAAAAGGTTTTGAATATGTTGCCTGAGACACTGTTTTACAATAGTTCTGAGATCAGCTTATGGCCCAAAAACATATTTTTAAAATCTATTCCATGGTAGAGAGGTACAAGACAAAATAGTCCCCAAAGACTTTTTAATATTTACCACTGTTTTAGCATTATGAGCATTACATATAAAAGCTCATGCACATGTAGGGTCAGCCATTTTGGAAGGTAAATAAAATGGCTATGTTTGTGTTGTGGACATTGTGACCCCTGGTTCTTATCACCACTGTAAAGAAAGTGTTAGAAAGTTTCACTACAATGCACTATTTCACATCAAACCAGGGTTTGAATTAGGCAGAAATTTTGGAAATTGATGGAATTCCCCTTTAATTTTCTCAAATAGACTTGCTTATGTTTGCCAATCATAATGCTACTGAAACATTTGGTAAAGTTTTAGTAGTGTTATGATTGTTTTGGCAGTGACAATGTTACCTAATTTTGAGCAACATTAACAAAAATGCTAGCAGGTGCATGACTAACAAACTTAGTTTTGAACAGTTGTACACACACAAAATCATAATATTTTAATGAAAACAAAAAAGTTTACTTGATAGCAGAAAATGTGTGTTTCGGTAGTGACAACTCTTAATGTTTCACACTGATTTTTTAGACTTTGGTACACATTTAGTTTGATCTAACTGCTCACCATGTGGCCATGAGGGATGGGGATGTAGTTTCACTTCCTGCTCTAAAATGCGGAGGTGTGGCTAAAATAAGACTTTGCCTATGGGCTAAAACTACTTGTGTTTTGGTAGTGACATGAAAATACGGGACAGCATTTTTGAATGAAGTTCTTTTTTTTGTTGTTTTATTATAATTTCAAAATAAAACTCTTAATTCTTCAACTCAAGAGAAATGAAAAGGTCTTTAAAAAAAGACTGCATTCTGATTATATTTTTGTCAGAGCTCTTTATAAGTTCTACGTGTGCCCCAGTGACATTACTGCTCTGGTTTGCTCGTTGCAGGGTGGGGATGGACGAGGCAGAGAAGTATCAGCAGAGGCTGCAGGCCATCGCAGTGAGTAACACTACATTCAGACATCCTTTTCTTTCACACGTAGTGAATAATTGAGTGATCTTATGTAGAAAAGCTACCACTGATTTACGCTGTAAAAGGATAGCTTCTGCACTCGAAAGGAAATAATGGAGCGAGGTTACACTTGAGGCACACTGATAGAGATGTTCACTTTTAGATTTGAAGGGAAGAAAGACAGAGACCTTGCAGAAGAGAGGTTGAAAATGCCTGTGTGGTTGTGAATGAAGCCACTTGGTTCATAACATGATTTTCATTGCTTTGGACCAGTGGTTACCAGTGTTTTCCTGCTCTAACACACCTGATCCAACTCAGTCAGAGGTGTTAATTTTTCGTGGTTAGACAAGCTTTGCAGAGAATATTGGCACAAATCTACTTTAAAGGGAATTTTTGATTTCAGAAAAAATCAGCATAATTGAATAACTGTGTAATTGAATAACTGTGTAATTGAATAACTGATGTAAACAGTGTCATTCAGAGTGGTTTATTGTGAAATAGTTAATTCTAGAGAAGCTTGCTGACTTAAATTCCTTTACAGTGATGGTGATAGGAGCCATTGCAGACATGGTCATTTTGTTTACTATCATGACCAGTGAACCTGCACATGGATACTGAGTTTCAGTATGTAATGATGATGGTAAAATGGTGATAAATCTGAAAAATTAGTTTTTTGGGGGACTATTTTACCTTGAAACAATCATATCTCTCTATGTTTTAGGCCAAAACCTTACCTCAAAACTATTGTAAACCTATGCCCCAGTCATCAGACAACATATTTGTAACCAATTAATGTGATAATGCTTATATAAACTACCTCAAAGACAGTTAACACCTCAGATGGCTGGTTCCTGTCACCACAACTGTGAACAATTCTGGCTCGATAAGTTTCCACTTTTAAAAAGATGGTTCTTCAAGCGTTCTTGAAGTGTTGTAGATGGCTTTATATACAGCCTTTTTGAAAATAGTTCTTTATAGCACCAAAAAGGTCAGAGCATTTCATATAATTTCTCTCAGAGCATTTCATATCGAACCACATGGCATGACTACATTTAAAGCGTGTTATTAATTTCAAATGATATTTATTTTGTACACAAGTGAAAGGTCGCAATATTAAGACACACTGGGGTGTGTTTTTTTTGTCATGTAACATTAGGATGAAGGCAGATTTGTTGCCATTTCCAAACTCACTAGCTTTGATTATCTACAGCAGCATAGTCCAATCTAGTAGCATAGCATCGTAAACTGAACACTGAATTTTCCCTATCAGACTCCTCCTCTCTGTTCAAGTCAGAGAAACCAATTGTGAGTGATGAACAAAAGCTAACTTAGCAAGCATCACTGATCCAGCATGAACGTCCATTCGTCTGTTCTTTTGGTCAGACATCTGCGCCAGCATTCCCTGGTTGCTCACCCAGCAGTATAGTGAACAAAAAACCTCACCTTCTTTAAGATGTCGCCATATAAAAGGCGGGTGTTATTTTTAGTGAGCACAGTGATGCAGTGGGGTCTACAACACCACCTCTAGATCCTCTTTCTCCCCACTTTGCCCACACTGTTGTGTTTAGTTCTGCTTTAGTGACATGAGGGCTGTCAATCTCACATGCTAGAACATTAAGGCCACACCCATGCATTTCTGAGATATGTATAATCAGCAGTTAGCATGTTTTTGTATTTCTTTCTTGTTATTTTCTCATTCAAACATTGCTGGATATTTAATATAACACCCATTTTTGTAAAATACAAACATTTTTTAATAATTTATGCCATTTCTTAGGACTTTAATGTATTTCTAAACGAAATTTCTGCCAATATTCCATAAAGCTTGCCAACCTCCAACAACTGCTATAAAAGAATGCACATGTGGGTGGAATTTGGTTAGGTTAATTAGCCGATTAGTTGGATCGGGTGTGTTAGAGCAGAGAAAAGGATGCCAGGAAAGCTGCTCCAGAACAAGGAACCATTGCTTTGAGTACTAAATAAAACAATATGAACATTAAAGAAAATAAAATACCTGAAAGAGAAAATGAAAATGATAGAGATGCTGAAAGACTGCCAAACTGACAGAAGAGTCCAAACAAGAGATGCAAGTATCAAATACCCCACTGTAATCTCTGCAGTTTAGTGTTTCTTAGAAAAGTGACTCTAATGCCACTCTTCCCAAACTGAGCCTGAATCAGGTTAGAGCTGTTAATTCAATTCAGCTCTGAGATTAGGCCTCTTTGTTCATCTAATCCAATAAGATGCACGGGAGGCACAGAGGAGGGACTCTACCAAGCTATTTTGAGTCAAAAGAGCTGTAGGCTGCAAGGGGCTTCTGCTTTGTTTAGACTTATGAAGTCTACGTAGGATGTTAGAATGAAAAATAGAAATTTGCAGGAAGAATGTAAAGCCTGTATTATACATGGCATAAAATGAGATTGGATAGCACATTTCTCCATGCTCGCTGAGATGAAGGGCTTAGATGCTGTCAATATATTCCAGAAACTTAGATTGATCTCCAGTACCTTAGAAACTTAAGCGCATAGGCACTAGTTTCAAACTAGTTTGGTCATTTGTTGACCACTGAAGTCGTGACGTCTTGTAGTGAAAAATGGTTCCAAAGCTGATATGTTTTTGCCGTTTGTTTGAGGTTATTAGGAAGTTGAAATATGAATGTTGCTACATGTGAGACCTCACCAAAATACCCCTCACAAATAAACAAGCTTTGTCCAGTGTGGTAGTTAAGCTGTTTTGGCAGTAGTAAAGTACATTAGGAGTAGCTGGGCTTATTATATAATAGTGTTAAAGTTTAAAAGTAGACTTACTTTCATGTGAAATCATTTTACTGTGCAGGAGTGTTAGCTTGCTATTAGCATGAATGTAGCAATGTTTGCATTTTGACTCCTTAACAACCTCATAATTCAGAGGGTCCTGTGGTATTCAGTGGAAAATGTATGCAGGACAAAATGTATCGGGTTTGGACACTTGATGGTGATTTAAAAGACCATGTATAATCATTTTTGTCATAACGAAATCCAGCTTAGACCCAGTATGGACATGACGCCAATTACAGATTGACGCACAACATTGGAGGCCCAGGTTTGAGGTCTGACATCAGCATTTCAGAGCAATTTCATCTGTAAGCTTATCTGATTAGCTCTTCTTCTCCACAGTGTAATGTCTAATTAACCTGTTTTGAAATGAAGCATCTTCCGCATGGTAGATCTTTGTTTCTGCTTGCATACATGATGTTGCTGGACAAGGTGGAAAATACAGGGCATCCTGTGGGGTCTGGGACCTCCTAATTAACCTCATGGACCCCCTGAATGTCTCAAAATAAAAATTTTGGGGGCCCCTGAAAATAAACTTATCTGTTAGGGGAAAAATAGACACTTAAATAAAAACTCAGGGAGAGGTCACTGTTTATCCTGCTTCACTCACAATGCCGCCCTGGTCTGCCTCAGGGTGGCGCTGTAGCAAATTGGTTCACCCAGTTGGTCCTTCATAGCCTAACAACTGTAATTGTACCCAGGATACATCTGAAAAACTTTACAATAGGCCGTAACATATTTGTAAATCTAAAAACTTGTCCTAATTCCTAAGAGTTTGGTGGAACAAGTTCATTGTTACTTATTTCTTAAACCGGAGACAAAAGAGATGATGAGTAAGATCTCACTTAAAAATGTGTGGAACTAGAAAAGAGCATTTTCAGAAGAAGAATTGTTAAACCAGACATTTTGTTGCCATTGAAGCTAGCATTAGTGCCACCGCTGCTATGGCAAGTGAGTTAGCAGCCAGCCAACGCTGGAGTGGCTGACGTATATTCAGCTTACCTGAATGCCAGGGGCTGTGTGGTGAATGAGGAAAGTTTCCTCATTTGCTGCTGTTTGAAAGTTTGCAAGTGTTTTAATTAATATACTGTTCCAAAGTTTGCAATTATGTGCCATATCACCTTTTAAAGATGAAGTTGCACCGGACCAGCATTTTAGAATCCTCTAATATGCTTGTCTTCAGCCAATAGCACTAAAAAGCGTTCTTGAGTTTGTTACAATAGAAGAACCTTTTTCAGTGCTTTATAGAACCCCTTTCAAAAAAGGTTGCACATAGAACCATCTACAGCACATTCTCCATCAGTGTGAAGAACCCTTTCATGATGCATAGAACCCTTAAATCATGCACAGGCATCTTTGAGTATTCATGGTTCTATAAAGAACCATTTTTCTTACTAAAGAACCCTTGAAGAGCCGTCTTTTTAAGAGTGCATATTTATATAAATGTAAGTGATTTGTGTTTAATTTTGATTCTCTATCCTGTAATTATATGAGCCTTACAGGGCATCATCCGTCTGTTCCACTGGACAAGAGGTTTTACTAGGGCAAGTCTCTCTCTCTCTCTCTCTCTCTCTCTCTCTCTCTCTCTCTCTCTCTCTCTCTCAGGAGAAGAGGCGAGCGCAGGAGGAAGAGGACAGAGTGAGAAGAGAGACAGAGGAAGAGTGGCTGAAGCTTGCACAGCGCAAGGTTTCGTTCTGTACATACACTCTCCAGTGTGTCTTCACGCCAGTAGCAAAAAAATGTGTTTTTTCGAAAATCACCACTATCGCATTGTTGGAACTGATTGCAATTATTTTCCAGAGTGGTTAGCTTTCACAATCATATGTTCATAGCAAACAGAGTGTCAGTTGAGTGCATTTTTTAACTGCTGGGTTTAGACAAACACATTTGCACGTCATGGTTTTTAATAAAAGCAAAATTCTGGCTATGGTAAGTAATGCTTATTTATTTGTGCTTGAGCTGTGTCTTTTGTTAGTTGGGAGCTAAGCATCAACAGCTAGGAAGCAAGATAGCTAATCAGCCAGTCTGGCCACTTTAGGCTTATACTTTAATAGTTGCATACAATAAACAAAAAGGGCAATTAATTTGTTAATCACAATTGTTCATTTAATTTATGTGGCAATTAATCATCAGCTACAATTGCATGATCATGACAATCCTAATGATAGCAGCTGATTTTCAAAGCATAGATAAACCCGGGCCTTTAATGGGCCTGGGCTTTTTTTCATGTTTGTACATGAAAGTCCCTCAGTAATCATTACTGGTGAGTAAAATAAAACTTTTGCTTTTACAGACACTATATGGCCAAAAGTATGTGGATAATTGACCGTCACACCTGCAGAAACTTGTTTGATATATCATACCAAAACCATGACCATTAATAGGGAGTTGGTCCCCTGTTTGTGGCTATAACAGGTTTCCCACAAGATTAAGTGCACGTGTAGTCAAAAGAGCGTTTGTAAATTCAAGTTTATTCAGGGCATGGCTCGCAGTCGACATTCCAGTTCATCGCAGAGGTGTTCAGTGGGATTGAGGTCAGGGCTCTGTGCAGGACACTGGAGTTCCTTCCCACCAAACCATGTCTTTATAAACCTCACTTTGTGTGCAGGGGCACAGTGCTGCCAGAACAGGAAAGGGCATTCCTCGAACTGTTGCCACAAAGTCGGAAGCATGTAATTGTCTCTCTATGCTGTATCATTAACATTACCCTTCACTGGAACTAAGGGGCCAAGCCAGAACTTTATCCCTCCTCAACCAGACTTTACTGTTGGCACTATGCATTTCAGTAGGTAGTGCTCTCCTGGCATCCACTGCTCCAGAGCCTGGTGGTGGCCTACTTTACACCACTCCAGCCTGCACTTGGTATTGAGCATGGAGATGTTCGGCTTGTGTGCAGCCGCTTGGCCATGGAAATCCATTTCATGAAGCTCGTGACACACAGTTCTTGTACTAATGTTGCCTCTAGTGGCAGTTTGGAACTCTGTAGTGTGTAATGGAAGAGAGGACAGCACTCGGCAGCTTTGCTGTGTGAGTTTGTGTGGTTTAGTGCTTCGTGGATGAGCTGTTGTTGCACGAAGGTGATATAATTTTACAATATAGCACTTGCAGTTGAGCGGGGCAGATATAACAGGGCAGAAATGTCACAAACCTTTGTAATAAAGGTGGCATCCTATAACAGTGCCATGTTAAGTCACTGAGCTCTTCAGTATGACTCATTCTACTGGCAGTGTGCTTGATTGTGCTTTATACACCTGTTAGCGATGATCATGGCTAAAACACCTGAACTCAATAATTAGGAGAGGTGTCTAAATACTTTTGGCCATATAATGAGCATTAAATATGTGCAGTTCTTTCTTTATTACACAGGGCTTTCTTTATTTTTGTGATAACTCTCAGTATGGAGCAGAAGTCCTTTTCATTTTCAGTTGTTTTCATTATCATAGTCGTGAGTCATTTTTGTTTGTATGAGAGGCCTACTAGGGCTATTTGACCCTTTTACAACTCTTTGCTCATGGGTTACAAAGTGCAAGCAGCATGAAACCTATCCATGTGTAATCAGGCCTTTTTCTCACATCATTCTTACACTATTTTTATATATATTTATATATTTATATTTGTTTCTAAATCTCTTAATGCAGTATCTGAAGCTCTGGTGGATTTAGATAATATCACTGTACATCCATACTGCATGAGACTGCATGATGGCACAGATAGAGAGAAAAAAATAATAGAAGGACCCCCTCCTCTAATCTGAGACCTCCCACCCTTGCTAATTAGAAGGCCAAACGGGTGGTCTCCTCCTTTCTGCCTTCTGTTTACAGCATGTGTGATTCCTCCTATTATGCATCTGACTGCTGCTCAGTGGCAGCCTTTCACAAAAACCAAGCGTATGGCAGAATAATATCACAATAATAATAATAAAAAAAAATAATAATAACAATGTATTATGGTAAAGGCCTATAGTAAAGAGACTAACAGACTCTTATGTTGAAAAAAAGAGTGCTATAAACAAGCTGTATGCAGTTCAGCATTAAGTAGCAAGTAGGGGGTGATCACCCTAGGCCATCATTGGTTGGTTGATTGGTTGATCATTACAACATGACTAGTTCATGATCAGATATCGGCCTTTTGCAGATAAGACTGGCAACTCCTGCCCTGAATGGTTGGGGGGAAAGTAGTTAATTCTGTTTTTTCTACTATTTTCTGTAAATTAAGTTTCAAGTCTTTTTTTCGTCAACAACACTAGCACAACCATTTTTCTAGACTTGATGCTGCAACGCTGTTTGCAGTGTGCCAGACTGCCAATTCACAAACTCTGCACTAACAGGTTAAGTGTCACCACTCAGAACTTGTTGAGACAGGGTTGAGAAATGTAGAACAGGGGTGCCCAAACCTGGTTCTGGAGATGTACAACCCTGGAGAGTTCAGATCTGACACAGATCTGACACCCTGAAAGCCTTTACCTGCTTCAAGTGTGATAGATTAGGATTGGAGCTAACCTCTGCAGGGTGGTAGTTCTCTAGGACCAACACTAGGCACTACTGATGTTAGGACAGCTCTTTTGATTTGAAAATTGCACTCTGTCAATTACAGCTTTGCTATAAAAACTGTTAAGGTTTCAGCTGAGGCTCAGGGTCTGTTTTTAGCTTTGCCTATATCATCAGTTAATGTTAACAACATACACTGTAACACTACTGAAGTAGAGGGCATTGCGGTCTTTGTTGGCATTTTACTGTCCTCTTCTTCTTTCTGAGAATCATTTTCATGCTGTTGTCTGGTATTTAGCTTTTTTTTTTCTTAAAAAAACAAAAAAAGTCAAGGTATGACTGTTTTCTCTTTTATTTCATTTGTCTGTCATCATCATGTCTACAAACAGCCCTCCATACATCAATGCAGTGCCCCTGAGTGATCCGATCAGATTTACAACTAGCCAGTTCTTTGATGACCTTCAGTGGCATATCTGATCCATGCTTTGTCTGCTTTGTTCATGTTGGTATTGCAATTTCCAGACTCTGCCATATGCAAACAGTGGCCTTGCTGCTTGTGCTTTTGGAGACGGGGAGGGAAATAGACAGATTAGAGACCGCTCCAGTGAATGAGAGAACAAACGAGTCAGAGTCACACTCACTCCTCCCAAAAGCTTCAGCCTCAGCAGCCTGGAGCCTGCTAGCTGTCATCCTCATGCATGTGTTCTCACTTCATCTCTCTGACTATCTTTTAGTGTCTCTTTGACCGAAGGATTCCAGCGTAGTAATGCTACTCTCTGTGGTGCCCTCATATGCCCCTTACAAACAGGGTTGAGGAATAAAAGAATGCATATAATACATGGAGTCACTATTTTTAATAATGTAGAACCAGTTTTGTTGCAGATACATGTATAAAATAATTCCATTATGATGTTACTAGTTTACTAGTCAACTAACTTGTAGGGAACCGTTTAAAATGGAGAACTTTTAGATATATACAGAATGATGAACAAAGCCGTAGGTGATTCCATAAAGATTGGGAAAGCTGTATGATATTCAGAAGGAAGGTAAAATTAATATCCAGATTGCCTTGTGTTTTGAGAGTGGTGATCATGTCTTGAGGCTGAAAACTTCAGTATCTGTTGTGTCCCAGATGGTTGCTAATGTGTCGCTAGACAGTTGCTGTGGGATCCTCAATGGTTCCATGGGTGTTGCTAGGTTGGTTACTATGGTATCTAAGGTGTTGGCTAGTGTGTTGCTAGGGGGATGCTGTGGTATCATAGGTGGTTGTTAGGCAGTTGCAGTAGTGTTCCAGGTGGTTGCTAGGATGTTACAAGGTGATTGCTATAGTATCTTTGGTGGTTACTAGGGTGTTGCTAGGTGTTTGCTATGGTATCTTTGGTGGTGGCTAGGGTGTTGCTAGGTGTTCCAAGTTGTTCCCATGGTATTCTTAAGTGTTTGCTGTGGTATCTCAGGTGGTTGCTAGGTGGCTTTGCAATGCAGATTCACTAAAAAGGGTGGTCAGTAAAAATAAAACATCATGATGCTTGAAAATATTTTCACAGTGCAAAATATGTATCAAGATATTTAATTTTTTTGAAGACACAGAAGCTATGAAAAACTAGTTTTCATTATTTTACTTTTTAAAATACCCATGATATCGTAATGATGGCGTATTGTCATATTGCACACCCCTAATTGAAAATGTTTCCCTCCAAACGAACATAAAATCTTAATAAATGAAATGAAGAGCCTTGGATTAGGATTCAGCCAGTGCTTTAATACTTTTTATATGTCAATTTTAAGTTAAATAAATTACCCAAAATAATAGAAAATGATCAGATTGCATCACATGACTTGTATTACTTTAGACTGCATTACAACACAGTAAGTCATAATGTAATACATTTTGAAAGGAGCTTTTCCAGCCCTTCCTGCAGAATCCTTGTGCAGAAGGATGACTTTAATCCCGAAGTGACAGATTCTCATTATTATGAATGACTAGCAGTGCTTTCTAAAAAGTCACCTTGTGAACAAAAGTGAATTATTAAAGCAGTGCAGACCTAAACAAAAGAAAAAGAAAAACAGTACATTATCTGCAGTTGGTATTTAAAAATAACTGCCTGTGTATCTGTGGAGTTCAAGGCAGAACCTATGAGCCCAGAGGCCTGATTGTTTTGTGTTGTTATTAAGTGCCCATTTTGTATGCAAAACAACAGCCAGATGGCGTGTGGATAGGGGCTCCCAGAAAGCAGAGTGGTCCTGAATGAGCTTTATGAACAGAGCTGGCAGACTGATAAAGGGAATAAGCATCAGGGTGTTCAATGTGTTCTCTCTCTCTCTCTCTCTCTCTCTCTCTCTCTCTCTCTCTCTCTCTCTCTCTCTCACACTTTGATAGAGGAAGTCTCTGAGAGACCAGTGGCTGATGGAGCCGACGCCTAGCAGTACCGAGGCTTCTGGGACTCAGACTACACCCTGGACCCCCACTCAGAGAGCAGAGGAGAGCGCAGAAGAGTGAGACAGAATCCTTTTAACACAGTAGGGAAAAGTGGGCATAAACAACACAATTTGTTTTGTTTTTGGCTAAAAAAAATTTAAAACTATTTGAGCAATATTTTTTAAAGCAACCTACACATCTCTGCTAGTAAAAACATAAACTCTATTTCCAGTGCCTACCTGTGTGAGTAGAACAGCAAATATCAGAATAATAAAATTATTATATTTTATTTACATGATTATTATATTATTATATTATATTTTATTTACTGGGACTAAGGGGCCAAGCCAGACCTTTATCCCTCCTCAACCAAACTTTACTGTTGCCACTATGCATTTCAGTAGGTAGCGCTCTCTTGGCATCCATTGCTCCAGAGTCCGGTGGTGGCCTACTTTACACCACTCCAGCCTGCACTTGGTATTGAGCATGGAGATGTTAGGCGTGTGTGCAGCTGCTTGGCCATTGAAATCCATTCCATGAAGTTCGTGACACACAGTTCTTGTACTGATGTTGCCTTAACCGCAATATTTTTTAAAGCAACCTACACATCTCTACTAGTAAAAACATAAACTCTGTTTCCAGTGCCTACCTGTGTCAGTAGAACAGCAAATATCAGAATAATAAAGTTATATTATTATATTTTATTTACATGATCTGTAGAATGCATTTATAAATCTAGATATAAAACATTCCCAGAAATTAAGTGCTACAAATTTATATGGGGCTAAATAGAATTCTCTCTTCTTACTTGTAGCACAATCCAAAAGATGCTTATGATGAATAAAGATGAATGTCTTGGTATGAATTGGTCTTTATAGAAAGTCTCAAGAAATATTTGTCCAGTTGCTGTGAAAAAAATGAGGTTACTATGGGAATACAAACAGATGACCAAAAGCACTTTCTTCTTAAACTTGTTTAACTACAGAAAGCAATCTATGTTACATATTCCCCTGCATTAGGTTATTCTGCACTCCCCATATACACTATTCTGTAGAGTAGGGTTATCTAAAGACTTTCTTAGTTGAGAACGCTTAGCCTTTTATTTTACTTTTCAAGCACGGCCTATTTATATACGATTAATTACCTACATACTACGTTTTTTACATGGTACATCATATTCGAAGTTGTATGAAGTTTACGTTCCACTTTCTCAGAATTATCTTTACATATTTTGAACTGAGACCACATGAGGGAATTTTTTCCTTGCCTTGCTCTTCAGTAACCAGTACCCAATGAGCAAAATATTCAGTAAAACAGAATGATGTTTAAAAATCCAAGTTATGGAAAACCAAATATTCTCAACTTTTAAAATAAGAAGTTAGTGTATTCTGAAAAATGCCATTGGTTTTGTCATTTCACAAAAACTGTAGCACAGTGTGTCGATATTCACCTATTCAGCCTACAGCAGTTTAGTCCTGCAGCCATGTTGAAGTTGTGTTTCAGCCTGAACTGCTTTCTGAATGAGGCTCAGTACAGGACAGTCAGAAGTCATTTATATACATCAGTCTTAAAAGCACAGTAAAAACTAGCTTGTTTAATTTTAAGGGATAAAGAGAGGTTGAAAATATTCAGAAATGAATTATGTAAACATATAAAAACAAACATATAAAGGAATATATAAACAAAGAGTTACATAAAGACAGTTGAATTATATCTTATTTAACCATGAATGCTACAACTGATTAGTCAACTTGTCAACTTAACTTGCAGGGAAAAGCTCTAGTATATGATCTCACAGCCTACATACTGCATATCTAATCTACTTCATTGCGTCTCTTTGTCTGATCTGAAACTCATTCTGATGTGAAGTGACTCTTATCTCTTGAAGTAACAAAGCAATATATATGTTTAAAGAAGCACTAAACCACTGCTGTAAGTGTGTGTGTATGTATGTGTGTGTGTGTGTGTGTGTGTGTGTGTGTGTGTGTCAGAACACAAAGCACTCAGAAGGAGATAAAGGAAGAAGATGAGAAAACAGCGAACATGAATGATGAACAACCGTCACCATTTATGGAGAATGTACCCTCAGACCTTTCAGAGAACAACAAAGAGGAGCCTACACAGGTAGGTGGAAAACCCCTGTGTGAACCCACCAGTTAATTATTCATTTAAATTCTGTGAAGAAACAAATGACTTGAAATCTAGGACTACTGACATCACAGCACCACTTATCTTCATTTCGCATCTAGTAGTTCACTAGCACCCTCTCAGTTCACAAAGGGAACTGCAACCTGCCCAGTCAGTTCACCGCTGTGTTCAGTCCCTCCAGGAATCTGCAATCATAAATTCAAGCATATTGAGCCCAACCTCTCAGTATTCACAAGGACTCACAATTTTGTCCAACCACTGTATCATTTTCACATTAAGCATGTACGCCATGCAAGTGTATTCATAATTACTGTAAGTATACATCATTTGTGCCACATGCCATGTGTGTCATGCTAATTATTTTTAGATATTGCCCAAGTCTAGTTTAAATTCGCAGTGCAACTGGATGTTCTACCAAAATAAGTAGAAAAGCACTTTATTTTACTTCTTTTCTGTTCAAGCCATTCTTGAATATGACTGTGGAAGTATGACATTTTGTATACAAGTAGTTTCATTTCAGTATTTAGGTGTTAAATTATTACTTCATTTTGAGTCTGTATGTTCTTGTTTCTCACCTGTGCCCTCCATTTTGTTTCTCTCTTGTTTTTATCAGGAAGTAGGTAGAATACATTCAAAACAAGTTGAAGAAATATTGTCTCACAGACATCACAAATTCATATTTTTATTTCGTCCAGTTTTATTCCAAAGATTTTATGCAAATATTGACAAAGGCAGAATCATTTTTGCCCCCACAGCCATCAAGTAAAAGGCTGTGAGATCCTGGTGGGTCTGTGTGGTGATGCAGAGCAAATAAAAGTGGTCAATTCACAGTTGTGACATCACTCAGTAAAACTTTTATATCACAGAGTTATAAATGTGGTTAATTTTGCAGTGTTTGCCAAGCACTAATCTGAATTGTAAGCCTTTCTTAGATATTAGAAATATTAATCACTGCACACTGCTTGGTTGATCATGGAAGCTGTCATTTTAATTATGTTTACCAAAGTTCTCTCTCTCTCTCTCTCTCTCTCTTTCTTTCTTTCTTTCTGTAGGCAAACTCAGGAGAGCAGGAAAGGACAGGTAAGTAGTGTTAGCTACATTTAGATCTATTCCACTTTCTCTCTCTATCATTTTCTACATCATCCTCTCTTGTTTGTTAGTGCATTGATTTGCATGTTTTTTTCAGCTGGTGCAACATCTGAAACTGTTGTGGCTTCCAACCCTGGAGACCTCCTTCAGAAGGGACAGCTGGAAAGATCAGGTAATTATTATTTTTGCAGTGAAATGCACAAACCAGCTATCCCTTTTAATCATTTTTAGTGGGCCTAGGCCAGGGGTCAGCAATCAAAATTTTAAGAATGGCCATTTTGTCAAGTTTCAACAAAAAGCTAACCATCTTGGGAGCCACAACATTTCATGTCTCCTTTATTGAAGTAATGTTTCACCAGCCTGACTGCAAATATGTCTCAGTATGTGCTAATGTCCTAGTGTGGGCTAAAAATATAATATAAACAAAAACGCAGACTTACTTTGATCTGCTTTAAGCTTTAGCTCAACTATAGTCACTTTTCTCGCATGTCTGGCAGGACAGTTCTCCGCACAAGTAGAACAGTTTCTTGTAAAATGTTTGACTTTTTACAAAGCTGAAGTCCGCTTCTCTTTTGCCAGCTTCTTATTTGAACGAGAAACTGTCAAACACTAAAAAGTCGCAAAGCTGGTGAACGAGAAGCTGATTTCAGCTTTTCAGCTTCTTAGTGTTTGACAGTTTTTCATTGAAGATTAAATGCATCAGAAAACCAGCTGGAGTGATTATAAATGCAAAGTCTATTTGTCTCCAAATTATCGATGTTTGTCTTAAATCTTTCTCTTTGCCTTGTCGTTAGCTACTAGTTAGGTGAGATTGTTGCAGAAGTGAAATCCAAATTTGCCACACATGCAATTTTTTGTACCTGTCCAAAAGAGCAGTCCTGGCACTGCAACTGATTGACTATCAAGAGAGAAAGAGTGAACATGTAGTTGACAGATGACCAGCTGCAGACTTTAGCTCTCATTTCTCCAGAGGAACTCTTATATTTCCTTCTGTGTCTGTGTGTATCTATGTGCTTGCCTTTGAGGTAACAACACACAGTACCCTCTTGAAGAGTGGGTTGAGGTTACTAGATGCAGATAGACTTATTGCTTGTTTACTGTCTAAACAACCATCTCAAAGTTGTGATGAGAAGTGTGCATAATGAAGGACGGTTAAAGGTTAATGTGATTTTGCTACTGTACTATTCACTGGAGGGCATTCCGCAGTGCTTGCAAACATTAGCCCTCATTGTTAAGACGAACTACACACAGTAGGCCTCAGCCTGGGGCCGGATTTCGGCACAAATAAGCTTTAATTTAGTCATCTGTCTTGACAGTACAGTCGCATGCAAAAGTTTGGATACCTCTGGTCAAATGACATGTTTTGTTGATTGTGAGTGAAAATAAGTGAACACATCCTCTGTAGTAAACAAACTTAAACATCTATTTTCTGCGAGCACAGTTTCTATTTATTTGCTGAATTTAACATATTGGGGGAAAAAGATACAACATTTTAAATGAGTCATAAGTTTTATAGATGCCATGTTTATGTTCTACATTTTTCCCTTATGGCAGTGCTCGGAGTGTTAGAGATTCAGGTGGAGAGAGACCCAAAAACTGGTGCCACCACCATTAAGTCCATGGCTCCGCTATCATCAGCAGCACTGGATGCTACAGGACAAGCCGTGTTTGATGATGGCCGGCGGACAGTGCATGCTGTGGGAGAGGTTGAGGGCAGCCAACATTCAGAAGAGGAGCTAAGCCAGATTCTTAATGCTATCTCTGAGGAGGGCATGCAGACCATACTAAATGGTGTGGCCATCACCTGTAATAAAGAACAAGGAGAACAGAAGGAGAAAAAGGCAGAGACAGGAGAACCAGAGGTTGAACAGTCATCAGAAGATGCAGGGGAGCCAACTGATCTAACCCATGATGCATTACAGCAAGAAAAGAAACAGCATCGTTCTTCAGCTGTGAGCAAACCTGAAGAGGAAGAAGGAGGGCTCAATGAAAGGAGAGATGTGGTGGATGAAGAGGAGCGGGATAAAGTAAAGGTGAGGGAAGGGGAGGTTGGAGTGGAAGAAGATGAATGGGAGGTGGTGAATTGTAGGCCAGAAGAAGGCCTGGACCCAGTGGTGCTGACCTTCTTGGGCTTCACACAAGTTCAGACAGGCTCAGGGCTGGGTTATGAAGATGAAGGAGGTCTTCTAAAGGTGGAACAAGTCTTCATTGCCAGTGATAATGACTCAAAGGTGGATCCATCTGAGGAGCTGAGCCCCATTACAGCTGAAAAGATACCTGAACATGAAGAGTCTACAAAATGTGAAGAGTCACAGCCTGAGCCAGGTGTGTCCTTAGCCTCTTACTCAGAAGGAACCCGAGAAGAAACCTCTCCTGTAGTGACATTACAGACGGTTTGTTTTGATGTAGGACCGGGTGCAGGTGTATCTGTGCCGCTGCAGGAGCTGAGCAATGTCTCAGATATAATGGATGTCCAACACAATCTGCCACACGTTCCAACTGACACAACAGATGTTGCAGGAGCTGCCAAAGAAGTTCTTGGAGATTCCACAGAAGCAGCCACAGAGAATACAGAGGAACAGGGAATATGTATGTCCAGAACTGATGTTGAGACACAAAGAGTGGTAAAAATGGAAAGAAAGCATGAGTCAGATCTTGAAGATGAGGTCTTTCAAGATGTCCCATTAGATGGCAATGGAGAAACATCTCAGACTTTGATACAGAGGGAAACAGTGGCTCAGAGCACCGAGCAAGAGCCAGAAATCCAGACTCTGGTGTCTCCAAGTGTAACTCTAAACAGAGCAGGAGGAGAGACTTCAACAAAAAACAAGACATGCCAGTGTTGCGTTGTCATGTGAGCAAGCACTCCAACAGCTCATACCGATTCCTCTGTGTATCCTTAATCTCTTTTTATCAGGCAACTGTATTTGTCACATTCTTTTCCTGTTCACTGTGTTGTCTAAAGAATCAGCGCAGATATCTTACATGCGAATTAGTAGCTCTGTTGGAAGGCAAACATCTGAGCTGCCGTGATTTGAACCACTTGTGTGCCTTGATGGATTTTTGTAACCAAGTGTTACAAACCATTGATGCCCCCTGCTGGGCACATTATTGCATTGAAATATAAGCAGTAATTTGTAAACATGCTTAAGAGAAATATTTGTTTATATCAAATAGTAGTTTTAATCTTTTTTTAATATTTCTCTTTTTGGCTTTGCACTGAGCTGTTTTAATTCAGAATTTGAAAACGTTTTGAAAAATGGACAGTGCACTTGACTTGTGCTGAGGACGAGTGTGCGTAGTACATCATAGTTCCAAATTAGATCGATGGGTCTTCCATTTTTCTAATTTGGTGTGTTCAGTATTCAGTCATCAAGAGCTGAGCTGTACATTTTATTTTTAGCAATATGTAAAGTGTTTTAAAGGGGAATTTTGAAAATCCTACATAACGTAATCAATTGAGATGTAAAAGCGATTCAGAATTTTACACAAAATAGTGAAACAGCAGTTATTACACAAAATGGTAACGTATATACTGCTGAATGTCATAGATATTGTTTTACAATAGTTCTGAGATACAGTTTTGGCCCAAAATGTATTTTTAAAGATGCATTTGTGACAAGGAACTTGTAGGACACTGTAAGAAAAACAATGCCCAATTTTTGGAGATTTATGGCTATTTTACTATAATCAACTTAACAAATACAAACATATAAAAATACAGTATTTTATAAATAAGATATGCAGGTTCACTGGTCATTCTGGATAGCAAATGTAAGGGCCATATTTGCATTCTGTCAGAATCCCTTATTCCTATCACCACTGTAAAGAGATCTGAGTCAGTATGTTTCTCTATAATGCACCATTTCATGTCAAACCACTCTGAATGACCTTGTTTACATCTCAGTGACTGAATTATCCAGAAATTAAAAAAAAAACAAAACAGTGGAATTCCCCTTTAATCTGTTTTTGATGTATATTAAGCACAACTCTGCTGTGCAAGACTGCTGTATTCCATAAGTGTGTGTGTGAGCAACCATATATTCTGAAAGTATTATGCAATATGCAACAATGATAAGAGATTTTTTTATGCAAATTTGACTAAATTACTTTTAAATATTGGACTCTGAAAGTAATAAAGAATTTTACAGTGTAATGTGGCTTATTTTGTTACAGAACTTCTTATGCATCGTGCAAAAGTTTATTCCACTGTAACAGACACATTGCAGAACTTTATTGCACTCTAAGGATAATGAATTGACCTTTGAAGGGAGTGAAAAGCCATGTTATTAAATGGATTCTTGATTTTCTAGCAGCATGCCCATCAAAAGTTTATCTGTTTGGAAGCAGCTGTCCATGTTAATCACTGCAGCACAGCCAGACGGCACGCACACGCTGTGCAGTATTAGTCACCTGTGCCCTAGCCGACTGCGTCAGCCCTACTGTCGCCATAGCAATGGCCTAGGTCACACTGCAGGCAGGGGATGATGCTTAATGCAGGAAGTAGGGGGTGGAGCTTTAGAAATGGTAACACCCCCTTTCTCCAATCCCAGAGCAGCCCTAACATTGCCACTCATCTGCCTCTCTTCAGACTGGTAAGCCACTGATTTCTTTTTTTTAATTTCTTATTCTATTAGTTTCTCATGTGCGTATGAAAGTGGGCGTCTACTCAAAAGATAATGTGATTTTTGTGGATAAATAGCCACTTTGCAAAGTTTCAAAGTAGCCACTGTTTACTGTGTTTATGTATTAATATAAATAGCACAGAATGGAATGCTGTACTGGGAGTTTGTCCTTCTTCGCTGCAGTAACAGCTTCTGCTTGTCTGGGAAGGCTTTACACTAGATGTTGGGACAGTGCTGTGAGGATTTGATTGCATTTAGCCACCAGAGCATTAGTGAGGTCAGCTACTGAATTTGGATGATGAGTTCACAAATGCCACTCCAACTCATCCCAAAGGTACTGAATGGTGCTCCATCACTGCTCCACAGCCTTAAACCCCTCTGGTCAGCACTTGGCATAGGGCAACTCCTGTCAGCAATAGGCTCACTTTAAAGTAGCTGAAATCTCTAATTGGAAGGGACGTCTAGATACTTTTGGACACAGTGTATCATTATCATTAATATCAGTGTAATATAATACAAGTAGTGTAACATTTTACAGTAGAAAAGCAAACCATCATAGATTATTGTTACTTCCAACAGGAAGTTTACTACAATGCATTTAATAAAGTTCTGATCTTAATTGTAAGTTGCTAACTTACTATTAAATGTTACTTCCTACTATGTGACTTATGTAACAGAAACATAATGCAAATCACAATTGAGATATTGCATGCTTGGGAAGATGTTTCCAGATTGGATAGGTCATAATAATCCAATAAAGTGAGAGTATATAATCTATTGCTTAAGTATTGCTCTAAGCAGTTTAGATAATAATAGAAGTGTAAGACTTCCATCAAGGAGATAACTAAGTAGGTAATACATACAACTCCAGTGAGAGCACTGACATGGTTTATACCCTGTACGTTTCACCGATGTACCTATAGGGTAATGAGAATGAGCCTTAACTGCCAAGGTCAGGGCATTGCTGGTGAGCTATACTGTAGTTAGTTTGGTAGTTTGCCAGTAATTTCACAAAAGAAATACAAAGAAGTGTATACCTTTGCTATGTTGTTGAAAAACTATTGATTTCCTCTATTTTGCATATTTGTTAAACTGAAGTGTTTCAGACCCTCATACAAAATTTAATGTAAGACAAGGAGGAACACATGAGCAAACACAAAACATGGTTTTTAAATGATCATTTTGTTTATTAAAGAAAAGGGTTTTTGCAAATAATATTGCTTAATAACTGGTTGTGCTTTGTCTTCTAAAAAGTTGCATTTTTGACTCCATTATTCCACAAGGCTTGGGGCTCATCAAGGTGTTTTTTTGTTTTTGTTTTTTTGATTTTTGTTTTTTTGCAAATGAGAGAAGAGCCTTTATGTTCCTCTTGGTTAACACAAGGTTTTGCTATGCAACTCTCCCAATGATAATATTTTTCCATGTTCATATGAGTTCTTTTGTGACTTCCTGAATAAGTTGTCGCTGTTCTCTTGGGAGGAATTTTAGTAGGCTGGCTACTTCTGAGAAGATTCACTCGTGTTTCATTCCTCGAAAGGTTCTATTTACGAGATTAGATAAAACAGCGCTGGCAGTAATCAAGCCTGAGTACGTCTAGTTTAGTTGATCCCAATTATTAACTAAATTTGGTTCATTGGTTGATAGTCTATGGGGGGCAGTTACTTTTTCACACAGTTGACTAACTTTTTCTTTGCCTTCAGTGTATTAAATGATCTCTTCAAACTGCATTTTGTGTTGACTTGGGTTCTTTTTGTCTTTAATTTTGTTTGAAGATCTATAAAAATTACACATGACAAAAATAAAATAAAATCAGGGAGGGGCAAATTCACAGTACTGTACTTCAAAATATACAAAAAACATGCACAGAGTGGTGATATCAAAGCAATTATAGCAACTGAAGTGAATGAATGCTCTAATATTAGCCCTCACCTTGTGGGAAGTAAATAACATAACTGCACAGATATGATAAATCAACAGGCAAGAAAACATATTGTTAGTTAAAGATTTCACCTACTATATCTCAGTTCTATTCCTAAGTATTTTTGAGTAATTCGTGTTGCAATCTGTACCACTTTAAACATGTTAGTTTCTAGCAGTCTGTTGTTAATAGGTGGCAAGAGTAACATTTTCCAGAGCTGTAAAATGTCTGAGTGACCACATTCCCTGAAAATATTCCCATACAAGCAGCTGATGATACTGGTGGATGAACGTGTGGCATATGAGAGCAATATTGTTCATGAAATGTGTACAAATTCTATATTGTGAAAGCATATAGGCCGCAGAGGTCAGAGAGGTGGCAGATAACACCACACACAGTGAGAGCAGGAGAGCAGTAAGCTGATTGCAGCTGCTCTCCCAGGTCAGCAGTAAATGCCAGGTCACCTAGCGTGACAATTATCACTGCTGCTTTAAGAAAATGACACATAACATGAATAATTATATCAGAAATAACCAATTGTGCTGAGCACCTAGTGGAGATGCTTGCTGTCTACTATAAGGGTGTCAACATTGGAGAACTTACAAGACCTTGGGTCATGAGTAAACTGGACAGTTCTGTTGGTTTATTAGTGATTATAATGTGGAGTCTCTTCAAACACTGAGACTGGCATCTGAGATAAATGATTTGTAAATAAAGTGTCATCATGATGTTCACATAGAATTAACATTCCTGTGTTCATCTCTTGCAGCTGTGTTGACTGCCGTTGATAAACCAAAGCAGGCAATCAGCATAACTACAGGTACATACATGGCAACACATGACATGACTCATGCAGTGCAACTCAGTGAATGCATCCCTGGTTCCTTCATGGATACGGTCACCACAGGTAGCACAGAGAAAAATCATTTGTCAAAGTTTTTAAAAAGCTGTGAAGCTGAAGGGGATAAGCAAACTGGTCAAGAGGACAAATCACAAACATATAACAGCAATAGAGACAACACAGTGTCTTTACCTGAGGCACCTGATGTCTTATGCAAAGAGCAGATTACTGTACCAGGTGAACTAAACAAGGAGGAATACAAGCAGGCTTCATCAAAAGAGACTGAAGAGATCAGCATACTGCAAGGTCAAAATGAGATTAGTAAACTCAGGATAAGGAGAGATGCTGATTTATACCCAGAAGAGCATAAGAAACAGTCTAGAGATACTAGTTCTCAGCAAGAAGATACTATGCCAACTAAAGAGGGAGACAATAAGACCCCCAAAGAAGTAGAAGAATATGATGAGAAAGCGGTCAGCCCAGAGGAGAACAACGCAAGACAAGTAGGAATCAGCATTGTCCCAAAAGGAAAGGACAGCAGTATTTCATTTGCAAAAGAGGATTTTAATATGGTTTACCACAAAGAAGAGTTGAGTGCTGGCTCTCGACCAGACGTTGAAATGAACCAGGAAAGGAAAGAGGACTGTGCAGGCCAAAATAAGACTGTTCCTATTCTGAAAGAAGAAGCTGTAAGTTTTGCTTCAGATAATAAAGTCAAAGTTGATGAAGGTTTTAAGGAACTCAAAGATCCACATGGTCCTCATCAAGAATATCATATGTCTACAACACAACATTTGGAACCTTATGAGGGCCAGGTTTCATTAAAGGAACTTGAAGGAACCTTCAGATCAAAGGGAAGTGATAAACTTGCTTCTGATCAAGATAAAATGGATATCAGATCTCAGATAATTCTTCAAGGTAAAGAAACCGAATCCTATTTTTCTCCAAAGGATGCAATAGCGCAAAACATCCAGCAGGGTGAGCTGTTGCTGTATCGGCTGCACCTTGTACAGCAGAATCAAGAGTTGCAACAGGTGTCAGATGGTCCACTAGCATCAAACACTGCAGCCATGGTGATGACCAATGACACAATGGAGAATGTTACTATGATGCCAGACACAGAGGGGGTGGAAGATGGAGGGAAGGAGACAGACTTGTCTTTAAGAGTAGAAACCACAGAGAAGAAGGAGAGTGAGGTGCAAAGGTACCAAACAGAGACCGGAGACCGTAAAGAGGCCAAAATGGAGAAGGAAGTGGGCGATGATGACCAGAGTGATAGTGGGGTGTCTGCTGACTTCTTCGTTCCAGGTGGAATCCATGAGCTTCCTACATCTTACTCCCAGAACATCAGGCCTATAGAGGAGACCCCCATACAGAGAGAGATCAGAGAAGGTTTAGAAAGGGAGAAAACCCTGCGTCAATCCAGAGGCCTTGATGATTGGGGCGAGAGGTCTCAGGAACTGGTGGAAATCACAGTAAAGAGATCCTTGGAAGCTCCAGAACAGACAACAAACTTTGGTTTTGATGCTGAAAAGAAGCTTGCTAAGAGAAAGATGCTACAGGATATAAGCCAGGAGGCAATGAAAGAGCAGGCCCTAAAGAAACTAGGTAAGGTTCCAGGCTTCTACAGTAGGGGTCATGCACAAGATTTAAAGGAAAGACAGATGCTATTTGACGCCTTCCACCAATGCAAGAAAATGGATACACAAGGCTCCTCTAGATGCAAGAAGTTCTTCTCTTCCTCATTTACTGCTGGGGATGCTGAAAACCTTGCAGTGCAAGGGGGCAGCTTAACTTTTGTGTCTGTGTTTGAACGTACCCGCAGTCTAGAACTGTTCACCAACTACCAATTTAAAGATCCTACTGCTCCATTACATAGTACTGAATCTGACACAGCTTCTGACACTGAAAGTCACAAAGAACGTCAAAAGGAAACTTCAGATGGTGACGCCACCCAAGACCCACAGTCAAAATCACTATGTTCTTCTGTTAGCCTGGATTCCTTGGATTGGAATTCTGGGACAATGCCTTCAAACTTGGATGATGAAAAGGAGGATGAGGAAGATTCATTCCTGAAAAGAAAGAACCCATTCTTTCAGCTCCGTCCCGCTCTGTCTCTGAGACCAGATGTGGAGATGGAGATCAGAGAGGCTATCAAGAGGGAGCAAGAACTTAGAAGACTGAGGAGTAGACTTTATGGTGACCAGGAGAACAATTTGGCTGATAAACAGGAAGGAAATACACGGTCCTCTTGTGTAGAATCCTCATCTACAGAGTCAGGTGATGGTACTTTGTCTTGCTTTAAGTTGATACTCTAGCACAGGGTGTTTTCAATATTGGGTTAGCCATATAGAAGTCACAGGTCTCTTTATGCATAGTCCGTTCATCTTTTTATTTTTTTCAATTTATTTTATTTATTTTTTTTATTTTTTTTACACAAATACTACAGCAGGTTTTGTAGTGTCTTTTATGTGTATCATCCCTATTAAGTGGCTTTTCTTTTCTGTGTAGATCATGTATACAGGGGTAAGTTAACACTCATCTGGCCTCCACCTTCCTCTAAAGTGGAAAAGGTAAGTTATTTTCAACTAAATCAAGATCACTTAAGTAGGCTATCAAAACATCCACTGAGAATTTAATTTGGGACAAAGTTCACAGCAGATGTTTTCAGGTAAAGCACTTGTGCTCTTCACTGTTCTCGTGTGATGAGTTGAGTATTTAACACTAAACAGCTGTTTTAGTACATACCAAAGCTTCTAGTACAAATATTCAAATAATAATGCTTCTGCAGAAATATGTTTATGAGGAAAGTATTATACCTTTTGTTCAGTCACACTTTAGTCATTAACATTAAAGTTCTTAATTAGTTCCTAATGCTGTGTCAGTAACAGCATCTGTACTGCTTTGCTGATGGTAACACCTCTGAAAGGATCTCAAAGACAGAAGGAAAACACTTGACAAACTTTGGTTCCTATGCTGATAGATGGTAGATGGACTAAGACGTTCCACTGTAATTTATGTTTATCTATCTTACTCAGTACTTAAGTAGTTTTGACATGCTTTACTTGAACACTGCTACATATCATTGACGCATTTATGCCATAAAAATGTCATGGCAGATGTCATGTGCCGTTATGAGTTGTCATTACAGATTTTGTTTAGTGATATAACAGGGTCATGTTACCCTTACCGATAATTGTAATGACAGATGCTATAATATTTAATGCCCTGACAGCTTATATGCTACTTTTTGTTAAGTGTACATTAGTTAACTGTCATGACATCAAACATTATATATGTCATGACAATCCAAGGTAATAATAACACTGTTATATTACTGTTAAACACTGTTTTAGTTTCTGAGTATTTGTGAACTCAGTTTTAGTGTCAGCCTGATGTCTGTGAGCCTAAGATAAGGTTCTTTATCAAACAGTCTATTGGTGTGTGATGCAAGTCATATTGGGTATTACATCATCATTTACTGCAGTATTCTGACTTGGCAACTTAACACAAACACACATAATTAAAACACAGAACAGGCTGAGAGTACAATAAGTAATTATATAAAATATTATATGTAGATGCTGGCATAACAAAACTCACAAACTAAAATTGTATCTTTACAGGATTATGGACTATTTACATAAGTTTGGACTATTTCTATTGGCGCATTTGTCATTCATTTTTTTTACACAATCTGAAGGACATGCTAAAGATTTCAAATTATGTCAAAAAATAACAACAATAGAGATGAGAGGTAAACATTATGTCAACCATATGCATATCTCTGTGCTTTAAGGAGTCTGGCCCTCCAAACCCAGTTGGACAGAGACCTCCACTTCAGCACCGCTGGGAAAATGGCACAATGAGCAGCTCATACAGTGAGAGAGACTAACAAAACATCATCACTTCCATGACCCTCTGCCCTTTCAGAAGCCACAGATTCAAATGCTCATACACACAAAGTATATAAGCAAAAAGTAACATGTACTCTGTCTTTATACCACTTCCACCACTCTCTACTGGACACCAAAGAGAAGAGGACAGAGATACAGATTGGTAAATATCAGAGCTTAAATGGCTCCCACAGAAATTCAAAGTGTCTTGGAGGGGGTCATGATGATATCAAATATGATATTGTCATATAGTAAAGTCTGGTAAAGAGGCTCTACTTGACTATATACTCATCTGAGGGGGGGGGAGTGGTACATTTTAGTATGCCTGTGTTTTGTGTTTGCAATTTTTGCTAATTAACCTTAAGACTGTGGCTGTTCTCCTCACTTTTTGATTGATATAGGATGAGCATACCGAATCTGATTTGTAACAGTCTGATTTGTTAGCTGACAAAAACTGATTGTGGGACATAGTTGTTAGGCTATGAAAAAAAGTTTAAGCGCTATGTGTACACAATTTATCATATACAGGACTGCGCAAATGTTTTAGGCACCTAAGATTGAACAATTAGAATTAAAAAGCCATCTGGGTAGTAAACATTTATTTGCTCAAAAAACACTATTATTAGAATCAATACAAGTAACATTAAAACAGTTAGCAGTGTTTTATGTGTATAATAGGTTTATTTGACCATTTCCAAACCACTACTTGTGGCAGCCCAGTATTACTTATAGTTGTTGTCCAGTACCTGGTTAGGCAAATTAATACTTCAGTAAGTTAAATCAGATGTGAGCTTTAAAGGGCCCATGTCCTATGTATTATATTTTATCCTATTCCTTGAGGTTCATTTATAATGTTTGTGTGGCTTTATGTACTAAAAACTGTCATTTTCCAGTCACTGTACCAACATTTATTTTTACATGACCATGACTTTCTCTTTTTATTAAACAGGCTGTTTTTGTTACTGTGTCTTTAAGACTGATATATGTAAATAGGCTCTTTTCTGATTGCATGCATTACCTTCAGCATGAATGGACGCTGAACTGCTGTACACTGAATAGGCATGTATGTAAATAGGCTGTTTTTCTGTGACATCATAAAAACAGTGAATTCAAAATGGGTTGTTTTTGCAGCTTAGTTTTCACATATGGACTGAATGCACTGGAGAGTGACTGGTACCTTTTGGATCTTGAACAGTCTTTATATTAGAGGGGAACAGTCAGAGAAGGCCTAATGATTCCTGGTAAACAAGAAATACACATCTGTAATATTTGGTTCATTTTTATTCAATAGAATTATCCTTGTATGTCATTGTAATTCTGCACATTCTACAGTACTTCTCTTGTTTCATTGTTAAGTTTTGGATGGAAATAAAAAAGAAAAATCTTTGAGCAGAAAGCTGGCCAATCAGGCCTTGCTTTTCTCTTTGGTATCTTGGTGGATATAGCTTGGCAAGCTCTCCCATTGGTTAAGCCCTGAAGAGAGTCCTAATGAATTAGATTAACTCAGCATCAGTATAATTATGAAGTGGCGGGGGACTCAACCAATCAAGTTTTGATTTCTGAAGGGCAGAACGGATTTTGTGAGGGGAAAAAAAAAACTCATGGCCTTCTGGCAGCAGCTGCAGTGCTATGCCAGGCCTGTTTGCTGAAAAAGTCACTGTGAAACTTTTACAAGGTGATGGTAAATATATAAAAGAAAATATATATTATATGGTCAAGTAAAAACTAAATACACCTCTTTTGAAGCTTTAAATGTCTGTGTTTACTTTAGAACGGCCAAATAAATGATCATGTGAATTGCCTTTAGCTCAGTGCTAACCAATTATGGGACACTAGCATAAATTAGCATAATCATAGAGGTGTTTTTTCTCCTCATGTTTTGACTGCATTTTGACATTTGTGGCCAATTTGGAAATTTTTTTTTTCCCAAGATATGGGCCTTTTTAACAAATCCATGCAATGGCTAGGGGTGTTCATGAGAAATCTGCAACCAAACTTAGCTCTTCAAAATAGCTCACAATAGATCAACCACGTTTTCTGAAAATACAAATTTCTTGTTACTTTTTACTGTATTTATGTTTAGTTGCACTCCAGTGAAAAGTGGTGTTTTTACAGGCTAAAACACACACATCACAAAGATGGATGATTTTAAGCAATGTGCTTAATTGACATTTGCATAGTACTGTATGTTACTGGTCCCAGAATAATTTTAGAAAGGTAGTAAAAGGCATAAAGTACAGTATCTTCGTTCAAATGCACTGCAGTAAAAGAATTAGGACTGGCCTCATATTGTGAAAATGTACAGTAATAGTGTTTCTTGTTACAAACAAATGAGCACAAAGACCGTCTGTTTGCCTGCAAGCTTTTATAATAAACCTCAGTGGCAGTTTCTGAGAGCAAAAGCTCCATCTTTGATGTTAACCCCATCTTGTTTGGCTTATGTTGTTATTTTTGAATTATTAAAAGGTTAAATACAAATTCTGGAAGGACAATACTCTCCCTAATTGATTACTTGTGTTCATAAGATCAAAAGGCTGGAGACTTCCTTTAGGGCAGAATCATGTTTTTCCTTTGTTTTACTACTGACTGTAAACTGATATGAGATTCAGACACAACTGAAGGCAGTGAAAATGATACCCACTAATCAACATAGTGCAATAAGCTTAATTGACTCAAAGTGTCTGGGACAGTCGGCAACCACATCAAGAGAAGCTGTGCACCATTATCTGTCTGCCATATGTCTTGGGAAGGGCTAAATATCTTTCAGACTGAGGACAAACACTTATATGCCACAACCATGTCAGTGTCACTGCTGTACTGAGAATGATACACCACCCAAATGTCAGTAGTGGTCCTGTGTTGGGCTCTTTGCATTGATGAATGGGTTAGAGCAGGTGTGTCAAACTCAACCACTAAAAGGGGCCATAACTTGACCCATAATAATTGCCCTAACATGAACTCGCTTATGTTTATTTAAAATACAGCAAAACTTTAACAGTAAAATATCAGCGCTTTTGGTAGACCTTAAAATATTACATGAATACTTGATGATATATATTTTTTTTTAAATCACTGCTGTTGGAACAAAACCTTGTATCTCCAAAATGTCAACTTTACAGGAGAAGGAAAACTTTCTTAACTTTTAATGGAAGTAAATGGACAAATATTTTTTCCAAATATGGTCCAATATTTGGACCATTTTTATTGGTTAAATTTTGACACAACTGCATTTTTCAAATTTTGTCAAAAAATTAAAGGTGTCCTGACAGCAATGAAATGCCCCCAGGAGTTGGTCTTTTAAACCTATTTGCTTAACTAGACCCCCGGCATCTTTTCATTGCTGAAAGTTCATTCATTGTTGGGATCAGTTTCTGAGCTGCCGAGCTGAGTTTTTATATTGGTTGAACTACAGCTGAGATGGTGGTGGGAGCACACATTACACTGCAGTGCATACTGGGGATTGTAGTTTAGGACATTGTGAAACACGTTAATACGCCTATTAGTAGAAAATTAAAATAAGGGACCTATGTTTGACACATGGGGTGGGAGAGGGCTAACAAATAACAGTTGGAGTCAGTAATTGTAAACCTCCAAAGTGCACCTACATGGTAGGTATATGTAATAAAATGGCCCCTTTTATAACAGAGGAAAATAAACAGAGGTTTCCTTAAATTCCACTGATTTTTCAAAATTCCTTTTCAAAAAGACAAACAATATCATTCACAATGGTTTCACGTGAAATGTTCAGTTCTAGGGAAACACAGCAAGTCAGAATTGTTCACAGTGGTGGTGATAGTCACCAGATGTCTGAAGCATTTTGTCTTTTAAAGCTACCTCACAAAGTTATTACACAAAATAATTACGAATATGTTGCCTGATGCCTCAGACATTGTTTTACATTTGTTTTGAGGTTTTAGTCTAAAACTTGTTTTTCAAAAAGCATTCTTATGCTAATTATTCATATAATTCAATATATGTAAGTATTCATATAATTCCATAATTCAGTGATTCAACCAATAAAGTAATAATTCTTTTTTTGCAAGACTGCAAGACTCTGAAAGCATTATGGGCCTACATGAAAGGTGAAACTAACTAGGTTACAAAGTTACAAAGTCTCAATATATATATATATATATATACAAAAAACCCACAGTTTTTTTACTCGTTATTTACTCATGCTAGATTGCTTGAAGTCAGTATATGTGGTGACACTATCAGTGTGTCTACTGACAGTGAAGTCTATACTGTCTGAGATGGCGCAGCCGAGGTTGCTCTGCCTGGGGGTCACTGGAGCTGAAGATATGACATGCAGCCGACATCACAGCCATCTTTAATCCCATCAGCAGCAGCAGAGGCCCTAGCATTATCTTCACAACCTCCCACTGACTAAGGCCTGAGAGAAAGAGTTGGAAGTCTGATGAGGTCCACAGCAGCATAGCATTAGCAACCATAGATAACAGCTCCACAATCTCGAACAGGCAACGCCATGTATGCTTCATCCCTGAAGTTGCTTGTGGGAAAGGACGACGGAAGAAGACGCACATTTGCCAGAAGTCTAGATGTGACTGTGCCACTGCTCCCAAAAGGCACCAGAGGGCGCACAGAGGGTAAATGCCAGAGAACAACATAACGTGGCAGTAGGCAATGAGCATGTTGATGTGGCCTTTAGTCTCAATGGAATTCCTTGTTGGTCTGCTGATCTGATCTTGGATTTGCTTTAGGAAAGGAGGTTGTCTCTCCAACTGGCAGTGACCAGGCAGATTTTCTGTCCTTTTCCACCGCATGTATGGAAGTAAACCTCCAATCAAGAGATGAAGAGCAGTCTGGGTGACTAACTGCACAGTCAGGTGGTGATGCAGAGTGATGAGGTCATGCTGAATGAGTGCCCTGTAGAAGTGGATGGCAAAGTGAGTGTAGATGCTTACAATGACAAGCTCAGGAAGCAGGGGCTGATATAGTCTTCCCTGACTTCCTTGATGCAGTGGTTTAGCATAAAGGCTACGAGAAAACTGCAGAGCAATATGGTCCACGCCCTCCATTGCCATTGCTAATGATATGTCTGGTAGGTAACTGAGTGTTTGTGTGATGGTAGACATTTGTTTCTTGCAAGAGAAATTCCAGATAATGGTATCCAAGTGGAAGTAGACCAGGATCACTACTGAGGAAAGGAGGAACATGGACAAAAGGAAGAGCATGGACTGTTGGAATGTGTTATGGCACATGTTTACAGGAGTGTTGCCTCTTTGTTGTTGTGGAAGGTCACTAGCATCTCTCAATCCTGTGGAGTCTGAGGGGCAACTAGAAGACCGCCATCCTTTTGGGCCTTCCAAACTCTCACTTCTCTGCTTCCATCCTTGCAAAAAGAGTCCTGACCAAATCATGTTGGAACATGAGAAAAAAATTAAGCTCCAACTGTTTGAGAGATGGAAGTTGTAGAGAACAACAGCAAGCAATGATTTCAGAAATAGAGCGTTGATGAAAAATCCCAGGAATCCAAAGTAATGGGCAACTCGTTCGCCAAAGTATCCCTTAATTTCCTCCAGATGGTGCCGTTGATCAGTCTGGGTGAAAGATTTGAGTCCACCCCAGCTGGCTCTGAATGTTTGCCTGAGGTGGGCCAGCTGAGGAGCATCATGAAGTGGGTATGAGTCTGTGATGATGCCATGTCTGTGAAGACTGTCCATGACTGGTTCTCCAGGAAGCATTGGAACCCCAAGAACTTCTTCCCTTTCCCCCATGGTCAACTGACTCAGAACCTTTTGCACCAGATTGACTGCCTCAGCTGAGGACAGCATGCCACAAAGTCCTTCTGCTTCACCCGGATGTAATGGATCACAAGCAGTGCTTGGTTGTAGTTCCCGGCTGCAACAAAAAGGCTTGGGACGAAAGAGAAGTTCCTCATCTGCTTCCAGGAGTAGACGCTCCGAAGTGGCTCCAATCGCCACCACTGCTCCTGCAGCTTTTGTCTGACCAATGACCCTCCCCAGTAAGTCAGCTCCACCAAGGGACTCTGCTTCAGTGATCTTACCTAGAAGCCAGTCAACTGTTTCTGCTGCTGTCTCAGGATGAAACTCGAGAAGAATCAGTGGGGCAATGTTGTGAAGGCGTTGCAGAAGTAGTATTGATTTTGCCTTGGTGACACTGGGCCGTCCTTTCCTCCAGGATAAGCCCCCTCCTAAACACAACTCCTTCCTTTCTTCACTCATTGTCTAAATGATGCTTCTTCTTTGTTCTTCAAACGCATGGGAAGTCACAACAGATGTAGCGAGTGATGGAGGTTCTGCGTATTTATTTGCCAGCCTCCTTCACGTTGCCTTCACTGTACGTTTGCCTTTACTAAGAAAATGCCAAGATGACTCAGTGAGTGAAAGGCCTGTTCAGTGGAACTCTGAGGGGCAGTGATGAACCCACAGCTTTCAAAAGCACAATAACCTATTATGACACTGGGTGACATCATAAAGAACTTCAGAGTTCTGACAATGTCAAGTAACTTGAATGAAATTCCAAGCAAATGTAAAGGCACTTCAAAATAAGCCTAGATTGGCAATTTAAACTGATAACTACATATAATACTTTCAAAGAATGCTTAAAATATAATAATAATAATAATAATAATAATAATAATATGATACTACCACTAATGATGCTGATTATAAAATAATAATACTAATTATTTATTGTTATTATTATTATTATTATTATTATTATTATTATTATTATTGTTATTAGTAGTAGTAGTAG